TGCAGCAAAAGGTGGTTCTACAAAGTATTGACTCAGGGGGCTGAATAATTACGCACACCCCACTTTGCAGTTATTTATTTGAAAAAATGTTTGGAATCATGTATGAAGTGACAAAATGTGGAAAAGTCCAAGGGGGCCGAATACTTTTGCAGGCCACTGTAACTGCATGTAAGCATGTTATCAACATGCTTCATAATTTTTCTCCATGTCGTTCTTCAGATCAATCCTAACTTCACTTACTGCTCTCGTACTCATCAGGGTGCCTCCGCTGCATGTGATTCTGCAGAAAGGAGGCATTGAGGAACGATTTCTCACAATGCAGGCACTAAAAGCAAGAAAGAACACAAAAATGCATTAATTATATTGGCTGCAGAAATAAATCACTACGTAATAACTCAAAATTTATAATAAAAATCTTTAATATCTCATCATAAACACACCAATGCTACTATTATTTTACCACACTGTGGTGGACATTGCCTTGTATGCTGCAGTGTATTAAGACTGCATAACACACGCTTACAGGCACCAACAGCTGGAGGCCTGACAGCTTTGTAGTCAAGGTGCATATATAGTTGGTGTATTGTAATGTCAATTATCCGCGGACTAATCTGCTCAGCCAAAAAACAAACAAAAAAAAACAGACAGGTGGAATGTCCAATGGGACCCAAGCAGACACTAGCGGACACTTTGTTTTTTTTTTTCTCTTTAAAGAAGTTACAATAGTAACAAATAAGGTAGCAGTTAAAGAACTGTATCAGTAAGAGTATTATCAGTACCCTTAAATTTTTTTAAAATATCCATCTTTATGTGAGGTGTTTCATTTTGCATAAATTGTAACTGAGGAATCTGTGATAACCGATCTTACAAAATGATACTAATTCCTAAGATTTCACAAATGTAGTGGAGCAAACCACCTGTCTGTGTGTTCATGAATGCAGCATGTTTGTTTCAGACAGAGCCCAGCAACATAAACATGCTCCAAACAGCAGCATCCTGAGTTTAGGCTAATGTTTCCAAACAGACACATCGCATGAGTGATGATCATGTTTCCCTGCGGCAGACATCACCACACACACACACACACGCTACATTTAACACTGCCTCTGATTGTTCCTGGGACTAAATATTGCTACAGATATGTTGTCAAAACATATGTTAGCAAAAACTCAAATGCAGTCATGTGACTTGGAGGGGCTCATTCAAATTGCTGGTTAGGAGTAACTCTGGAAATAAGGAGTCAAATTAAATTAGTCTTCAAAGACAGCAGTGTGGGTTCATGTTGTAGAAATATGGCACCAAAGTAGCAAAGGTCCTCAAAGGACACACACACATGGCCTGGCTATCAATAATTGAACCAGCTCTGTTAGCTGAGCTTCTAGCTCACACCTAGCAACCACATGCTCTCATGACACACTATATCTGTTGCCTTGGGAACAGCCTAGCCAGGTCAGAGCTAGTTGTTCACCTGAAGAGGACAGGAAGCATTTTTTTTATTTGTGTGATAAATAACCTACACGGACAGCATTCACAGACATACGATGAGATGGAAGAGGAGTTTGCCTTTTAAGATAAAATAAAAAACACTAATTGCCACTAAATGACACCATCTGCTCAGCAGCTTTAAATCTGATTTTTCCTGCATGAAAACAAAGATTATTAGAACTTGACTGTGGTTAGGACATAACAACTGCTTTCAGAGCTGCAAATTTCCTTGGGCCATGCTAAAAGCTTTCCTGTTTTTTCCTTGAAACCCTGTTGTGAAATGCACAAAGCCAAAGATGTGAATAGGTTCCAGGAACAATGACAGACTTGGGCCTTCGGAGAGGAAAAAAGAGGGTGGGGGTGGATGTCTGCTGCCACACATATATTAAATTCAAACAGCTCCAACAGCCCTCAAAGAGAAAGCGTTTAGCCTGTCAACGGTACCTTGTGGCTGCTGATGATTCGTGGGGCGAGCAGCGACTGCTGGGTGCGAATAACCTTCTTTCGCTGCTTGAGCTCTGCAGTCAGCGCCTTCACCTTCTCCTCCTGCTTCTTCTGCTGAACCAGCAGCTGCTCACGCTCCCTGGCGATGGCCGACAGTCTCTCCTCCGCCGCACGCAGATTGAGGGAGAGAAAGTCCTGGCAGTGGAGGAGCCACTCCACCGTGAGCTGAGCAAGGCGCAAGAGCTTCAGCAGAGCTGGGTCCACGGGGGTCTGGCACCGCTGGCATCGCTCCCCCTCCAAGCTGCAGAAGGTCACCATGCTGATGTGCTCCTGAAGGGCATCCACATCCAGCTGGCTCACTACTAAGTCTACATCCACTGCATTGATCCGCCGCCAGTCCACGCTTTCTCTGCGTGGGCGGAACTTGAAAGGGAGAAAGGTGGAGGTGGTGCTGGACGGAGTCATGCCTGGTGCAGATGATGCTGTGTGGCCGTTTACAATGTTCTGGCTGAGAGGAGAATTCAAAAGAGAGGGGATCCCGGCTGACGAGTGGGTCCCCTGGGTGTCACTGGTGTATGGGTAGTAGACTCCCTCATGAAATGGCTGAAAAAAAGAGAAGAGAAAGGGATGGCTTCACATTAGCATCAAATACAATCACTAGGAGAGAGAAAGAAAGACAGACATTCAGCGAGGTAACAGCAGAGCACAGATTCCACCACTTCCTGCTCAGCCTCCTTCTACCTATGTTGCTGCTGCTGTCCTCTCACAGCCAACCGCCCTTACCATCTTCGACTGGTTTTGCCTTTACTCGAAGAAACAGATCAAAGAGCCGTCACTCCTCTCCGGTTCCACCCCCGTTGCTAAAGCAGCACAAAGCGACAAGCAAGATTAGGCGTCCGCCCCGTTACCTTGGAGACAGCGGCGAGCGTCCCTGGAGACAAACGTTATCAAAACGGCGACCAACAAAACGTGTCCACACAGTTCACAGTGCGCTGTAACCTGCAGTACATATCAGCTTATTCTGTACAACAAAGTCTCCTCACTCACCTCCATCTAAACGGTGTGAAACAGAATAAAAGGCGAGCTAACGTACCTGCGGAGGAGCACGAGGGAGGTTCAGGAAAACGTTTTCCATGCTAACAGCAAATACCGTTAATCTGTCGGCATCACGTCTCTAAACAGTCATTTCAAGTTCGGGCAGGCTTTTGTTTTATTCCCCTGCTTGATCTCAAGTCAAACAACAGCAGACATGCTTGAGCTTGTCCTTCTTAATACTTCAAGTTACGGTTTAGAAAAAAAGAGAGACCACAACAGCTTTTTCGAAAAGTCAAGCCGCTAGCTAGAAAAAAGAGAACTCTTTGAAATCTTCATGCCTGCCTGTCTGGGTAACGAACATTTTTCTTAAGTCAATATTAAACCTTATCACACATCACTAACAACTGTGAATATTCAATCTTAAGTTTGACATTGGACTAACACATGAAAAATAACTTACCTGGAAGATTATGATTTTAATTCGTGGCCTTTAAAAAAGTTTATTTTCGAGGAGATCCCAGGCGATTTGAGGGTGACGTAGCTGCTGGTCTCCACATTCCTAAATGCCTGCTCCGAAAAGACAACGGTCAAGACAGACGTAATAAATACGACACTTCCTCGTTTGCCTTTAAAATAAAATGCCAAATGCAGCAAAGTTTAAGCTAAATTTAAATCTTTTTATTTCATTTTACAGAAACGCAGTACAATGTTCCCAAACATTAGCCATATGCTATATGTTTAACCTCAGCTTTTTTTTTTTTACTGACTGAGCCGTCATTTTCTTTTATTTTTATGAATTACATTTTTAATTTTTAGCGATATTCAATTCAGGTTCATGTTCTATTTTACTGCAGAAACTCCAGTTCACTGATCCGAGTAGAAACACATCTGTCACTCTGAAAAGTCTATTTCGAGCTTTGATACCAAAGCTTTCCAAGAATTACTACGAACCTGTACTTTGGCGAAGTAAACACATCATTTCCGGTGTTATCCGGCGTGAGTTTGACGCATCTCGCAGTAAGAAGTGGGGGAAGGGAGCAGCTGTTCAATTTGGGGCTGAATAGGGGTGTAGAATCTTCCCACTTCAGCGGGAGGAAATAACTTTAAACACATTTAAAAACACAAAAAGAGAGCACATTAGAAGAAATTGTGAGACACCTGCATATCTACAGGGACGCAAAAGCACCATGTATAGATGCATGTGAAGATTTTGAAAACTTTCCGATCCTCTAACAGCATGCCAAGCTTGCAGAAAGACTCCACCTTGTGGTTGTTTCATTTTGCCTTTTTTGTTTGCTTCTTTATTACATTATTTCGTCCTTTCTTTTCAGTTCCATAGAAGAAGAAGGAACAAAAATAAAAACACACGTTCAAGCGGATTTGAACTTCTCGTGATCGTTGTTTTTTTTAAACTAGACTTCGTAGATGCGTTAATGTTGTTATTTCTCCAACACATGTGAGGTATTTACAGCTGACAGGTTATACAGCAACATATACCACGGCCCTGGGTCTTTGACTCAAAGTCTTTTGGTTTTGTGTGTTAATGATTTGTCTTTGTTTTTAAGGGATTTATGTTCTAAACATTTATAGACTTGTGTTATTGGTTTGATAATCCCCCCCCCCCCACACACACCTACCTTTCATTTGCATAGCATTTGTTATGTATAGTTTTGTTAGTTCCCAGTCATCATCTGTCTGGTCTTTCTGTGCCACATCTCCTCAGTCAATCATGTCTTCATGTTTGTTGACCTTTTTGTCTGTGCCAAGTTTAAATGTCTCTGTGTTAGTCTGAATGTTATTTTGTTTTTGCATTATGTTCAGTTTGACCTTCTCTGACTCGTTATCCCTGATTTGTTTCTACTGTTTCCCACCTGTTTTATTTTACCCTCATTGTCTGCAGTGTATTTATTGTCTGAGTCATCCTCAAAAATGTGTTCCCTGCGGCTCTGTGTTCCTTCCTTGGTTAGTTAATTCCTGCCTCCTTCTTTACTCGTGTTTTTGTGTTATAGGGTTATAGGTATATATAAGGTATAAGGAGACTCTTCGGCATTAAAGCTGCTTCCTAAGTTTAAGTCTTGTCTCACGACTCCTGTATTTGGGTCTTTGCCTGCCACACAGCCATTCTTGAAATAGACTCCTATCCAAACAACATGTTTTTTCAGGGAAGACTTTAGTGGTAAACATGTCTGTGTCACAACTTTTATTTAAGACATGTTGCTTCCATCAAATTCAGTATGGCCTTCTTACTCTTCTTTTTTTTTAAATGCTACATTTTCTCAGTTTAAACACCTGTTTTCTGTGTTGTACTGTGTTTGCAAATCACTGAATCCTGTTTTTATTTAGATTTTTACACAGCAGACCAGCTTTTTGGATTTGGGTTGTAATATTGTGATGTTTGGTAGAATCTGTACTTTTTATTGTTTCTACCTGCTGTATTATGGGAGAGAGCAGAGATGTTGAATAAAAAAATTGATGCTGAATAAAAAATGCTCTAGCTATATGGAATTTTAAAGTGTATTATCAAAACTTATTCTTTAATAAACTGAACCTCTAACATCTTTCAGTCCATTTCGATGACTGTAGGAGTCACACTATTTACCGCATCGTCTCGCCAGCAGAGGTCAGTAGAGAACTGATCTGTGCTTACGCAGGCGCTTTGACTCTATTGTAGAGCAGCTGTGGAGGTTCCTCCCTCCTTCCCTCTTTGTCAGAGTAAATGTTGCTCACTGCTGCTGTGATGGAGAGCAGCTAGAGGAGGCGACACAGTCTGAGCATTAATAAGGAAGAACAACTCAGCAGGTCGCACCCGCACACACGCACGTCCTTGCACATGCAGGTTGCACTGCTTGTGTTCAAGGAAAAAACGCCAGTCATTCTTTCTATGTTTCTTTTAGACATAAGATTAAAGAATGCTTCATATTCAGGTTGGTGCTGGCAGTGGCACAGTTTACTTAAAGAGTGAAACAAAGTATGAAGTTGTAATGAGTGTGCTGTCAAGAAGCAATCTTCAGACACATCGCAGCATGTTGAACTCTCCATCTCAGTCCCACTGTTGGAATAGGCTGCCTGTGTGCTGTGTGCCATTTCCCCAGTCAGTCCCCGGACAGCTTCAGTCGAGTCCTGATAAATAGAGATTTTAATTCCTCCGGACAGGGCCTGTGACTGTCAGGATAGCCTGAGGCGAGCAGGAGAGAGTCTCCTTGCAGGCTTTGCCCGGGTAAAGACACCAAGCTCTCACCAGTGGCATCACAATGAGGTGTCGGAGTTCAGCTGTAGGACAAGATGCTGATGCTTGCTCGTGGACCCAAATCCCAGCTAATCCCACTTTTCTGTTTCCCCCCTCACCATTTCAGATGCTCCCACACTCACTGTAGCCTCCAGGCCAGAGTTACAATGTTTACTTGAAAATAAAATCCACACTTTTTGATGAGAGTTTATCAGAGTGTGTGTGTGAGAGAGAGACACACATGCAGGGGCAGAAAAGTTGTGGTGTTGCATTAGTCATGCAGTAAAAAAGGCGCAGGGGTGTGTGGAGGAAGAGGAGCAGACCTCTTGAGATGAGTAAGCACAGCCCTACACTCAATTTACTGCTTGATTTATGAGTTCATTTCCTGCATGAAGTTCTGTGGGGGTGAGGTGGTATATCTTTCCTACTATAGGTAGCAGTGGCTCCACTTCCAATTCCCCCATGAGACTCACTCTCACCACTGCAGGCCTTAGTGGGACTATAAATAATGGTTCCTGTAACAAGTGCACATTGAACACAGAAAGGAGAGGATGCCCAAACATCTTTATTCATGAAGGAGATTCTTATCTTCCGCTGCAGAGGACCAGATGGATTTAGACCACTCTGCATACCGAAACACTGCACTTATGCTTACTGTATCTCTGCTCTCAGATAAGCATCTTGATATTCAGGATAATTGGACGATAAAACGACACCTTCTGTGTGTTTTTCTGTCTGTATTCAGGTGTGATTGTATGGAATTCATAAATCAGAAAGACAGAGAAACTGTCTAAATACTTTTATTCTTGAACAGGAAAGTACTCAAAGGACGAGGTTAGCAAAGAAAAAGCTGAATAGTCAAGGAGAGGAAGAATGTAGACAGGAGTACTGGGAGGCTAAGCGTACGGCAAAGAGAGAGGTGGGAAAGGCAAAAGAAAGGGAGTGAGCCATGTGAGAAGCTGGACACTAAGGAAGGAGAAAAGGATCGACTGGCTGGGCAGAGACATTGCGCTGGAATGGATGTGCAACAGGTTAAGGTGATTAAGAATAGTGATGGAAATGTACTAACAAGTGAAGAGTGTGTTGAGAAGATGGAAGGAGTATTCTGAGGAGCTGATGAATGTAGAAAATGAGGAAGAGGAGAATGGATTGAGGACAGTTATTGAAGTGGGAAGAGCAAAGGATTAGTAAGAATGATGTGAGGGCAGCTATGATAAGGATGACATACTTGTAGAAGTATGGAAATGTCTAGAAGAGATGGTGGTGGACTTTTTTTTTTTACGTAATCTTTGCGAGTAAGAGGATGCCTGAAGAATCGGGAAGTGTACTGGCTCTGATTTCCAAGAACAAGAGGGATGTGCCAGTGAGCTCAACTACAGAGGGATCAAATTGATGAGCTATACCATGAAAAACCCAACATAACAAAATGAGTGAAAAGTGGAGAAAGACAATATCTATTAACATGTTTAGGCCTACTTTGAAAGAGAGAGCTTTGTGTTCTACTTCTGTTTGCAACAGTAAATAGGCAGTTTACTGTTTACTGTGGGCGATCGTGGCTCAAGAGTTGGGAGTTCGCCTTGTAA